GCCACAGGACGTCCGCGGTCGCCACCGAACGACCGCCGCGACGTGACTACAGGGGGGGGGGGAGCGGGGCCTGTCACGCGCGTGATCGCCGGGGGCTTTTCCGAACGGGCTCCGGGGACCCTGTGTGGAAAAACACAGGACGCCGCGCGTCTGGGACCGGCGCGCCCCCGATCCTGTGGCACGTCCACCTTGAAGGAGCCCACCGGCTGGCCCGCCCAGTTGGTCAGCGGCAGGACGGGAAAGGCGCCCTGCCCGTAGACGAGGGTGCCGGGCCATGGATCCTCCGTCTCGAGCTGGGACGTGAAGAGCGTCGTGTTCAGCACGAGGACGTTGCCCCGGACCTCTGGGGAGGTCCCAGGCCTCCACCGTGTGGAAACATCTGGTCTGAGGCTCGTTTGGGCCCCCACCCTGACTTTTTTGTGGTCACACACGTCTTGGCGTCTTCCACCTCCCCCTCCAACTCCTTCCTCCTCCTTCCTCCTACTCTTCCAATTCCTGCCTCCCGCCGCCTCTTCGTCCTCCTCGCCCTCCACCTCCACCTCCTTCATCCCCTTCGGGAGAAGCAACAAATCCAACAAGCAAAAAGTCGAACCATCAAAACAAGCAACAATGCAATGTTTCAGATGCTTTCGCCTTCAGCCTGGACTCCCCGAGAACATTGTTTTTTGTTGGTGTGTTGATTATGTGGCTTTTCCTGAGGAGCAGGAAGAAGGTGGAGAATGAAGAGGAAGAAGAGAAGGAAGAGGAGTAGGAGGAGGAGGAGGAGGAGGAGGAGGAGGAGGAGGACAGGGAGGAGGAGGACGGGGGGGAGGAGGAGGAGGAGGAGGAGGAGGAGGAGGAGGAGGAGGAAGAAGAAGAAGAATAAGAAAAAGAAGAAGAAGAATAATATTAATAAGAAGAAGAAGAGTCGATAAGAAGGGAAGAACGCAGCAGCGAAACGAAGTTGGAAAAAAGAGCGACTCCTCTTCCAACACTTTGGAGGCCGAAAGCCCGTCAGGCTCGTCTGGTCTGGAGCTACGGGGGCGTCAGGCTGTGAGCCTGGCGTGCATTTGGCTTTCAGAAGGCTTAAAAAGTTTTCAAATGGTGTCAACATGCAGTCCCATCATCATTGAGAGGAGGATGAGGAGGACGAGGAGAAGGATCAGGAAGGGGAGGATGAGGAGAAGGAGGCAGGAAGAGAATGAGTGCGTTCTCAACCTCTTCACCCTGCTCTTTCCCATCGCCCGCATCATTTTCTTCAGATTGCTCCTTAGCCTCATCTTATCAGTCCCCCATCCTCATTATCGTCCTCCTCTCCTGGGGAAGATATGGGGAGAATGATGAGTTGTACAAGGATGGTGAGCAGGATGAGGGGGTCATGTGATCAGGGGGACCCTGATGATGAGGACGAGCGGTTCCTCGACCTCCTCCTCCTCCTTCTCATCCTCCTCGTCCTGCCCATCATGCTCCTCAGAATTCTACTCCTCCAACCGAATCACGTCTCCTCCTAATACCACTGCTCTTTTTCTCCATCCTCATTGGCTTCCTCATGCTTCCTCCTTCCCCTCCTCCCGTAGGCGGAGGATGAAGATGCATATTGAGATGGTCAGCAAGATGAGGAACGACATATCAATATCATCCTCATCGTCCTCCGCCGCTTCAGTGATGAAAGGAGACTTGCAGAGGAAAGCGAGGAACACAGTTTTCAGAGTAAAAGGATTTGGGGGAGGAGGAATAGGAGTGATATGAGCAAGAGGAGACGTAACTCTTCAAGCTTCTCCTCCTCCTCTTTCTGGTCCTCCGCGTCCCCCTCCTCGCCTTTATCGTATCACTCTGACTCGTCCTTTGAACATTGGAGAAGGAGGCACTGCATCATGGAGGGGGATGTTGAGGCGTAATGGTATCGGTAAGGCACGGCGCCTGCCAGCCAGTGGATCCTTGATGTTCACTTCATTAATATATTTTTGAATCGGAGCTTGAGCTGCGGAGGGAAAGAAGGATCCCCATTCAAACGCCATTCCTCAGCACCCCGAGCCGATTGAGACAAACTGTCGCGATCATCGTCATCGTTGTTGCGATGGCCGTTGGCGTTGCCGACGCCGTGCTGTCCAGCATTTGGATTCTTTCATCATAAAGGAACGGGGTCCCAGCGCGGCCCGTGTAGTTTTCCATGAAAAACGTAGAGGGGGCCAAACGAATGTGTGACCAAACATTCAATACGGAGATGTTTAGCCGTTCTCGGCCAGGGCCCTCGCCGGGCCCCCGGGCCATCAGAAGACTGCCCAGGGCGAGAAGCCTGTCCTGGAGAAGGGGTCGAGACCTCTAGGGGTCGACATTCTGAAAAAAAACATGGCGCCGAGGGTCTTAGAATGAGGTCAGGCATGTCCTCCTACGGACGGATTTTGGACGAGAAATGATAAAGAGTCAGAACAGAATCATTCATAGCCAAAAATAATAGAAGAATCGCCCTTAGACTTGTTTCACTTTTTTTGAATATTACCCCTGTAGATGGACATGCCCGAGTTAAAATCTTAGAACCATGCGGTGACAGACCATGCGGTGACCTCGGAATCCCCAACACGACCTCGCCGCACGGTCTCTGCCCACACGGTCTTTGGGGCCTCCTAGAGGCCCCAGTGTCGCCCGAGACGTCCTCGGAGAACGACCCGAGTCCCAAAACCGTGCAGTCATCCCGAATCCCCACCCCAGACATGATCGCGTCGTAGAAGAATCAGGACGGAATGTTTTTGGCCGTTTTCGGCCTCGGGGGGCCCTCGCCGGGCCTCGGGACCGTCAAAAACTACTGAGGACGAAAAACCGGTCCCGAAGAAAGAGTCGGGCCTTCCAAGGACCCCGCATAAAAAAAATCAAGACCTCGCATGTGTGGGACTGACTTACCATGGCGTGTGGTCATGGTACTGTTTGGGGGCTCCTGAACCTCCGTCACTGCCAGCTTCGTCGGGACGTTCCAGCCCTTCGACTCGACCGCGGGGTACAGCATGAAGCCGTTGATGTGGGGGAACTTCTCGTGGAGAGTCTGGAATTCTGGCTTTATGCTGAGATCCTGGCATGGTCAGCAACACCGAATCAGGACATCGGGTCATAACATGCGTCGGATCGGGCTGCTTCGGCACGGGGTCGAGATCAGATCGGCCGCGACGGGATGCACGCCAATACAACGCCAGAGTCGGGCCGCATCGGCTCGCCGGAATATCACAATCGGATCGGATCGAGCCGGCCGGAATCGATACAGGGTGGTGGACCAAAAAACCCACGACACCACCCCACCTACGGCCCCAGGGGGCTTAGCGTATACCCAGAAATACAGCGTGGGTTCTTGAATGGAATATGCCACGGCGCCCGATGGGCCGTAGCGCAACATGGAGGGCCGTAGGTCGGGGGCGGCCAAGAGGGGGGCGTCCGAGAGGAGGGGGCGCAAATCATGGCCGGCGGCATGTGCGCGGTCCAGGGGGGGGTGCCCTGGGAAGCATCAAAATAAGAAGACGCGCCGTGAAATCTGGGGAGACATCAAGGCCCCGCCATGATACCCCCCCCCTAGTCCTCACCCCCCTCTTCGCCGCCCCCGAGTAGGTGGGGTGGTGTCATCTGTTTTCTGGTCGAGGAGGGATCGGTCGGATCGAAACGGGCCCTGGTCTCAGGTCGGGCATGCCACCCTGCAGGCGGCTTCTGGGCGAAAAACGACAGATACCCCGAAAAATCCACCCAAATAGCCCAAACTGATCAACAAAAACATCGTCCCTAGAGTATGTTTGGACTGCCTTTGAAGCTTCCTCCTGCAGAGGGACCTGCCCGACCCGACCCTGGTCCTGGTCGAACTCCACCCGGATGCCCCAGCTGTGGGCGCCGCACGCGCCTGCCTCGGGGCAGGGGCCGCCCCAGCTCTCGTCCCAGGGGTCGGCGTACACGGCGATGGGCACCGGGAAGGCCGCCGGGAGGTCCGTGCCGCCCTGGGTGATGGACTCCACCGCCTCCGCGGAGAGCCGGGCGCCCCGACCCCGGGCCCCCCTCGGGCAAGGGAGACATCGCGGCAGCAGGCGTTTCGCCATCGTGTCGGCCTCAGGGGGCCCCCACCGGGCCTCGGGAGCGGCGGAAGACGAAGCCGGAGGAAGGAACCCGGTCCAGGGGAACGGGTCGAGAAATCTCTGGGGGTCGACGTTCCGAAGAAATCATGCCTTCGGGGGTCCGGGAAAGGGGTGCGGGAAGAATGGGCAAGATGCCCGGCAGCAGATGCTGTCCAAAACCGGCAGCGGCCGCTGCTGGGCAGGCGGCCTGTCCCCCTACAGGGGGATTTTGGACGAAAAATGAAAGATACTCAAAGAAAAAACAAACACAACCAACAAATGCTCATGAAAAAACATTCCCAGACTATGTTTTGACTATTTTTGAATACTCCCTCTGTAGAGGGACAGGCCCGACTTAGCCCAAGGTGCCCCCAGCTTTTCGACCAGTCCTGGAGCTTTTGGGGCCCTCTGGCGGCCGTGGGGGCCTCCATTGAAATCCTGGGTGCGCCTTGGGCCAGGGGCACTTCCAGCAACACCCCAACTTCGACCGTGCCGACATGAGCAGAGGGCAGACAATCCACCCCCCATCAAAAACACCCCGACAAGCGAAGCCATCTAGTAGACGCACCCAAAACAGAAATCGAACAGGGCAGGGCTGCTCAGTAAACGCCCAGGGCCGCTGAATAAACGCCCACTGTCGGGGCAGACAGAAACTCCCGGAGGCCCCCACGGACTTCTCCCACCGGCGCGGGCTCATCCCGCCCCCCCTGGCCCGCAGGAGCGCGCAGGAGGGCGGCGCCAGGGGGGCCATGCGCCGATCCGAGAAGCCAGTGCGGACCTCCGATGGTGTGCGCTCGTGCCGACGTTCCCGGGCCCCCCTCGGGCAAGGAAATAATCATGGCAGCAGGTGTTTCGCTACTGTCGGCCTCGGGGGGCCGCCACCGGGCCTCGGGAGCGGCAGAAAACGACTCAGGATAAAAAACCGGTCCAGGGGAACGGGTCGAGAAATCTTTGGGGGGTCGACGTCACAAAGAAAATCATGACTTCGGGGGTATGGGGTGCTTCTCCGATGGTTGGCGACGAGCGGGCCCCTAATCCTAGATGGGAGGGGGCCGAGTAATTAGGAGGCCCAATTCATCAGGGATAGGAGGTCTTTTCCGCAGATACACCACACCAAGCCACCCGTACGCGTGTTGTCCCTCGTGCAGAGACGGGGACCTGAGCCAGACTTCCAGGAGGAGGAGATGGAGGAGGTGGAGGGGGAGGGGGAGGAGGAGATGGAGGAGGAGGAGGAGGAAAAGGAAGAGGAAGAGGAGGAGGGAGGGGAGGAGGGAGGAGGAGGAGGAGGTTTAGGAGAGGAGGAGGAGGAGGAGGAGGAGGAGGAGGAGGGGGATGACGGGTCGCCGAAGCCCTTCGGAGAAACCCTCCAGTTAGGGGTCCTACCACGTGCTTCACACCGCGAGCCTCGGCCAGCCTCGCGGCCTCCTCCCGCTTGAACGGCGAGTGCATGATGGCGTAGGGAGACGCCGGGTCGCAGAAGTCCGACGTCACGGCGAGCGCCGTGCGGTCCTGCAGGGGCCCTGGGGCACACAGACATATATGTGTATATATTTATACATATATATATATACATATATGTGTATATATATATATATGCACAGATCCCAGGATGCCACATGTTTTCCTACAGGTTTTCTGGGTTTTCGTCTTCCCTCCCATTTTGTCCACACTTTCCCATATGTCCCTGGGGATCGACGATGCATTTTGTCTGCGTGCTTTTCCCCCTCCTGGGTTCCCCCTCCAGGAAGTGCATCTGGTCCAGGCGGGCATCGTCGATCTCTGCCGGGTCGCCCCTGGCGCCGGTGTTGCAGCCGAACTGGGCCACGACCACGGCCGGGCCGTCGTTGCCCTGGTCAATCCAGGCCTGGCGCCAGTACCGGACCATGAACGGCAGGATGCACCTGTCCCCCTGCAGGTTGAGGACCAGGCCCTTCACGGCGAGTGCCGTCCAGGGGTGCATCATCCCGTTCCAGAGCACGGAGGAGGACTTGGGCTCCCAGAACTCCCCGTGCCCGGCGTGCTCGTCCACCGTGCACTCGCAGTCGATGAGCGCCTGGCGCGGGGCCCACTGCCAGGAGGCCGTGGCGCCCCAGCTGGCCTGGATCAGGCCGACGGGCGTGTCCGGCCGGCGGCTGAGCTGCTCCAGGCCGAAGAAGTAGCACAAGGAGCTGAACTCGGCCGTGTTGTTGTCGTTCCCGGCCCGCTGCCACTCGAACTGCGCCTTCAGGTTCTTGTTCGGCTCCGCGGCCTCCTGCTTCTTGACCTTGATGATGCGCACGTGGTCGCCGGACTTCTTGGCAGCCCCGAGCGCCTTCTTGGCGTCCGTCGTCCAGTCGAGCCGGAAGTCGACGTTGCTGGCACCCACGCACATGTAGAGCTCACCGAAAACCACGTCGGTCAAGGTAATTGAGTCTGCATCCGTGCTCACGACGATGTCGATAGGCGTCGCCGAGACGTCGGCGGGCGGGAGCATCACTTCAAAATCCGCCTGCCCCCCGTCAACCTGGGGGACGTTCTGGCTTCGATCTTGCGTGGCGTCTGTAGGACGACAGGAGCCAGCGCTAGTGACCGCCGTCGCGGCGGTACCAATGACGGCGCATGAGGATGACGGCGGGGACGGCAGCTGCGCATGTACTGTCATGGGGTGCATCTTAATTGGGCAACGGCGGGGAACGCGCGAAGACCTGAGAACATCGCCTGGAATCTGGCGAGAACTCTGCCATATACCTATCGGTTCGTCGGGAAGCTTCCAAGCAAAATCACAATGCTGATGCCAGCTTGAATGCAAAACGTAACAAGAAACCGCTGGGAACCACTGGATACCTCTAGGAAACCATGTCGGAAACCGCTCTTTTTCCGGGAAAGCGTCCCAAGCGGGATCCACATGTTCGATTACTCCCCCTGGATCAAGCTATACGGTCAAATTTCAGGGGCATCTAAACGGGGGGCGTCCAAGAGGGGGGGCGCAAGTCATGGCCGGCGGCATGTGCACGGCCCAGGGGACGTATTGGAATAAGAAGAGGCGCCGCGAAGTCTGGGGAGATACCATGGCCCCCGCCATGATATCCCTCCCCTTCCCCCCTCTTGGCCGCCCCCGAGCTATACGGTAAATTGGAAAGCGGAATGCCCTCCTCCCGCCGCCCTGGAACCCTGCCACTGCGCTCATCCCAGAACCTGTGGTGTCCAAGCCCCGGACAGCGAGGGGCTTCGAAGGAGCCCTGGAAGCTCTGGGAAGGAGCTGCCGGAGAGCTTGACGGCACGCGCGTTGGGAAACTTAGCTGCCCCGATTCACCCGCGCCATCCCGCCATCGCCACCGCCGTCAACCACCGTCTGCACTGATGCCTGCCGCCATCCCCTGCGGTGGGAGCATTGGAAAAGGAACTCTTGGGTAAGGAATGCAAGGTCCGGAAGCAAGTGGAACTTCTGTCGTGGATCGGCCATGGATATCACCGACGCCCTCATCAGATAAGGAATCCTCTAGGGTGTGAAGCATCCTGGGCATATTCCTTAGCCAACGCCCCCGCCATATCTCCGCCACCATCGTCATCACCGCCAGCAACCACGTCATCCAATCTCGCCAGCATCGTCAGTGCCTCCTTCGTTGCCGTCAAGACCGTCATACTCGCCTTCCATCTCCTCGTCGCCATGGTCGCCATCGCCATTGTCATCGCCGCGGACTTCGTCGTCGTCGAACATGCTCGAGCCAGGAAATTACCTGCTCGGGCCTGTAGTGACGTGGGCTGCTCTGTGAAATCCCAGCCTGTCCAGACGTGGTGCGGCAAAGCGCTGTGGATACCAACTCATGAAATCTGGGTCGGTGTAGTGCTCCTCGCCCCCGAGCTTGACGACCACCGAGCCGTAGTCGGGATTCGCCCAGCCAAAGATCTTGAACGAAACGCCTGCCGGAAGCACCATGTGGGAGCCTAACTGAGAAGGCAGCACCAGCGGTGGCCGTCCCAGCGGGGTGCTCGTGACCGAGACGCGCAGCATAGACCGGGCCATGGTGCAGCAGATCTCCCAGCAGGCGCTGCCGTCGGCGTGCTGTGGGAGACAAGCTCCTGGGGTGTGGCTCCAGGAGCAGTCGTCGCACTGCACCCCTGGCTCGTCCTCGTCTCCGAACTCGTCCTTGCCCTCCGTCCGCTGCACTGCCCCAGGGTCGCTGCCGCTGGCGCCTCCGGCGACCGCGGCAAGCTCGCAAGGCTTGAAGGTGTCTGGCACTGGCCCGTCCAGCAGCATCCTTCTCTCGATGACCGAGCTCAGCCACTCGTTGTCGATCATGTCCTGGATCTTCCCCCGCTGCTGCTCGGTCACCGTGCACGGCTTGGTGATCTGGGCGCAGCACATGAGCCAGCAGGGGGAGCCGTCGTCCGCGTCCGTGTGGCAGCTCTTCGCGTCCGCCCAGTCGCAGGAGGAGGGGGCGTCGCAGCCGAACTTGACCGCGATGGAGCCCAGCGCGCCCGCCTGACCAGCGGGCCGCGCCGCCTCCGCGCCGTTGGCGGCGGTCGTGGCGGCGGCCGCGGCCGTGGTCGTGGCCGTGACCGTGGCCGTGGTCGCGGCCCTGGCGGTGGTCGTGGCCCTAGCCGTGGTCGTGCTCCTGCTGGCCGTGGTCCCGTTGGCCGTGGCCGTGGTCACGTGGGCCGTGGCCGTGGTCTTGTGGGCCGTGGTCGTGGTCCCGTTGGCCGTGGTCGTGGTCCCGTTGGCCGTGGTCGTGGCCGTGGTCCTTCAGCGGCGCGCACACAGGGGTGGAGGGAGGGGGGAGGGCCTCTCAGAGGGAGGCAGCTTCTTAGAAGGCGCCGGCCTTACCTCTACGGATGAGGCCCACGCCTCCCAAGAAGCAGGGCTGCTGCTGAGAAGAAGCTCTCTTCCCCTCCCCCCCCCGGCCCCCCCCTGCGCGTGGCCGAGTCCTGCTGGACCTGGCCCTGGGCGCATCCCTGGCCTGCTTGGCCCCGGCCGCGTGCGCGGCCCTGTCTGCCCGCGCGCCTCCGCCCGCGGGGGGCCTCCGCCCGTCCGCCCCGGCGCCCGCGCTCTCGGCGGCGGCCGCGGCCCCGGCCGTGGCCGTGGTCCCGTTGGCCCCCGCCGAGTGCGCGGCCCGCTCCGCGCGGGCGCCTCCGCTCGGCTGGGCCTTCTGCTCGCTCTTGGCCTCCACGGCGCCTGGCCGCCTCGTCGACCGGCGCCTCCAGGGGAGAGCCCTGAGATCCTGGCGTTGCCACTCTGTCGCTGCGGGCGCTTTCGCTCCGCTTCGGGCCCCGGGACCCTCGCGGACCGATCCGGCTGGAAGAAGAACGATGGGGTCCAGGGTTCCGGTCGTGATTTTTTGCGATGTTGCATTTTTTCTGCAACGTCGGATCTCAGAGAAGGGCGAAGACCAGCGCCACAGGCAGAACCGTCCAGAGGTCCGCGCGGCGTCCTGGGACTGGCGCGGGGGGGCCCATTGAAGTCTGTGGCTTTTTTGTCCAGGGCTCAGGTCAGCGGAGCACATGGCCGCGGCTCTGGCTGCTCGTGCTCCCGCTGCTGCCAGTGCCGCTTGCCCTCCAAGCTCCAAGCGATGCACCCCGCTCAAAGGGCCCCACTGGACAACCAGATTCGACCTATCCCCGGCGCGCAGAGCCCGCCAGGGACGGCGCTGGAGGCGCCACCAGGAAGGTCCTGCGCAAATGACAGAAGTCCGCGCAGACCTCTGGACATTCATGGCTATGCCAATGCTTCCAAGACATCCTCCGATCTGACTTGTTTCAATCCGCGGCCCCAGAGCTCCCGATCCTTTCCCTGGGGGTAATCTTGCGCCCTGGACCCACGTTTGATGGAGCCCCAGAGGCCGAGATGAACAGAAAGCGTCCAGCTTGAAAAAAACGTGTCGTCGGGGATCTGGGTTTCCCTGACCTTCGCCGGCGTGACGTTTGTCCCTCCGCGGCCCCCGCGGCCTCCTCCCTCGTCCCTCCTCCTCCTCCTCCTCCTCCTCCTCCTTCTCCTCCTCCTCCTCCTCCTCCTCCCTCGCCCCTCCTCCCTCCTCCCTCCTCCCTCCTCCCTCCTCCCTCCTCCCTCCTCCTTCTCCCTCCTCCCTCCTCCCTCCTCCCTGCTCCCTCCTCCCTCCTCCCTCTCCTCCTCCTCCTCCTCCTCCCTCCTCCCCTCCCTCCTCCCTCCTCCCCCCTGCCTCCCTCCTCCCTCCTCCCTCCTCCCTCCTCCCTCCTCCCTCCTCCTCCTTCCCCGCGAGCTTGTGTTGTCGCCCACGGCCCATTTCCTGGCGCCCGCCCCCCCCCCGGCTGGGGCCCAAGAGCGGGCCCCCGCGGGGCCGCAGGGGGAAAAAAACGCACTGGGAGCGCAGAAGCAAGACGAAGCCACGGCGAGCCCAGACATGATCGCGCCGCAAAAAATGATCAGGACGGGAGAATTTGCCAATTTTCGGCCTCGGGGGGCCCTCGCCGGGCCTCGGGACCATCAAAAAACGACTCGGGACGAAAAACCGGTCCCGGGGAAAGGGTCGGGACTTCCAGAGACCCCGCACTGAAAAAATAGCACGTCGCATGTCTGGGGAGGCAAGACGAAGCCAGGGAGAGGATAACACCGGGTGGGGTACATCGAGAATCTCTGAGATCCGGCGGCTGAGGTCTGGCGGCTAGGATGCCTCGGGCGCCGCGGCCTTCTCAGAGCGTTCTGGAACGCTCTCTGATAGCGTCCCGGATCGCTCTGGAACTTCAGAACGGATTTCTCCTCGTCCCAGCCCCGCCCGAAGAGTGGGCGGGACTGCCCAGAAGGCTCGGAAGGCCCTCAGCCTTCTGAGACGTGTCCCAGGCGGCCTCTCAGGAGGCCGGAGGGATGCCGAGGAGCCCCGCCGCTCTCCGAGGAGGCCCGCCCCTCTCGCGTCCCCCCGGTGCTCGCCGCCGAATGCCGCCGGACCCCGACTCCGATTTCGCCGTCCTCGGGGCGATGTCGTGAGTAGGGCGGGAAGGTTGTCTCAACTCTTCAGTCTTCTTTAATGTCGATGTCCGCCTTGCGTTGCCGCCGCTGTTTCCGCCAGACCTCTGCGAACACAGCCGCCCTGCCTCCTCTGAGGCGGCAGCTTCCGCCCCACCTTTTTACATCGCTCTGGGTGCATTACCAACACAACTTTGAATCGGAAAACTCGACCAAAGAACGGCGGATCCGAAGTCAGGGAGGGGCCGAAAGCTTGGGAAGCACGCCAGAACTGACAAAGTAGAGGCCTCCTGGATGGAGTCTGGGTATAGATGCGGTCGGAGGATAGCGCCGCATCGGCGATGCATCGCTGATGCATCGGCGACGCCAGCGTAGAGAGGCTCCACATTGAGTTGTATCCCCGATGAGTCGGCGTGGTGACGCGATCCACCGACCACATCCACTCGGACCCCATTCGGGAGGCCTAGACAAGGTCATACCGCCCAAGATCTTCTTCGTCGACTTCTTTTTGGCATTATAATTATGAGTACTCCTCCTCCTCCTCCTACTACTACTACTACTACTGCTGCTGCTGCTGCTGCTACTACTACTACTACTACTACGACGACGACTGCGACTACTACTACTACTACTACTACTACTACTACTACTACTACTACTACTACTACTACTACTACTACTACTACTACTACTACTACTACTACTACTACGACTACGACTACGACTACTACGACTACGACTACGACTACGACTACTACTACTACTACTACTACTACTACTACTACTACTACTACTACTACTACTACTACTACTACTACTACTACTACTACTACTACTACTACTATTGATACTACTACTACTACTACTACTACTACTACTACTACTACTACTACTACTACTACTGATACTACTACTACGACTACTACTACTACTACTACTACTACTACTACTACTACTACTACTACTACTACTACTACTACTACTACTACTACTATGGTGCTGATTACTATTATCATCATCATTCGCATTGTCATGTTAATTATCATCATTATTTTTAGCGTTCGCCTTCTTCTCGTGAACGTTTTCTTATTCGGCGATTCGACCGTGGGCGGAAGGGGGGGATCTGGCTCTAGACCTCTGCTTCATGCCACTGTTTGCAATGAAACCTGCGCCACAAACAGCCAAGATTTACTTGGAGGGGAGGAGGGGGCGAGGGCCTACGCCGATCAGCAAACGAATGAAGGAGAATCCGATCACCTTCTTCTTAGTATTACCATCATAAGCATCATTACTAGTATCACTAGCATGATTACTATCACTATTATCGGTATTGTCATGCATATTCTTATTGTTAGTATTCGTATTCGCATCAGTAGTATTACCCGTATTATTAATAGCATTCGTATTATTATTATTCGCATTCTGAGTCAGATTCGTAATATTACTATGTCCTCGAGCCTCACGTCGCCGTCCCTGTCGCCCGAGGTCACGGCGCAGAAGGCGAGCGCCCCTGCCGCCACGCACACCTCGGGGGGCGTCCAGGACAGGGGGCGCCCAGGAGAAGGGGTTAGCCACATACAGTATAGCTCGACCACAATAAACCTGCCACAAGAAACCCAACCCTGAGACCCCAGGACGTCCAGAACAGAACGCTTTCCATAGCAAAACGATCGAAACTCAAGAACCCCAGGGCACCCTGGAGGCAAGCAGGGTGTTTCTCGGCTTGGGTTCCCACTGCATTCGAACATGGACCACTTGTTACCCCTCTGCTTCAGGCGGTGGTCTTCGGGCGGTCTTCGGTGGTTTCTGGCGGTCTTCGGCGGTTTCCCGCGGTCTTCGGCGGTTTCCCGCGGCCTTCGGCAAAGCTGGAAGCTTGCATTCAACAAGGGCCCCATGATCGAACAGCTAAGGCTAGCAAGACCTGGCCCGAGGCGCGTGCGCGGACGAGGGGGGACCAAGGGACCGAACTCTGAGATTCTGGGCGTCTAGAGGCCTCCTAGATGGGGTCGGAATAGATGGGGTCGGAGGATCGCGCCGCATCGCCGACACATCGACGATGCATCGGCGATGCAACGGCGATGCATCGGGGATGCACTGGCGACGCATCGCCGACGTCGGCGATACATCGGCGATGCCGACGTTGAGCAAGTCGGGCTCCACATCGAGCCGCTCCGCCGATGTATCGGCGATGCGGAGCGATCCTCTGACCCCATCTGCTCCGACCCCATCGAGGAGGCCTGGAAGCAAGAACCTAACTCTGAGGTTTTGGAGACCCGAAACCGTGCGGTGACAAACCGTGCGGTGACCTCGAATTCCCCCAAGACCTCACCGCACGGTCCGTCAACGCATGGTTTTGGGGCCTCGGATGCCCCAGTCGCCCGAGACATCCTCGGAGAACGACCCGAGTCCCAAAACCGTGCGGTGACCCCGAATCCACACCGACTCACCACACGGTGTGGTCACCACCCCGCTTGGGGGCCCCCGAGAGATTCTGGGCGTTGCTGGTTCATTGTTCCAGACTGGGCGGCTTCGCCGGGCGTCGGGCCCGCGGGGGCACTCGCGGGCCGATGCGGCTCGGAGAAGTCGGCAGAACGACGGGGTCGAGGGCCCCGGTCGTGACGTGTCGCGGTGTTGCCATTTCTCTGCGGGGTCGGATCTCGGGGGGCCCGGGAAGTTTCCGCCTCGGAAAGAGCGGATACGTATGTCCGCACAGGTGGGGCGGAAACAGCGACGGCCAAATTGGGCGGACATCAACATCAGAGGAGCTTGGAAAGCAGGGCGGAAATTCCTGTCCTATTCACGCAAGCGCTGAATGCACGGCGGATCCGAAGTCAGAGCACGGCGTTGGTTTCTGACACCGCGTGGGCCACTCAACCTTGGACGCGGGCACAACCAAGAACCACAACCACAACTAACTGGATTTTTCGGGATGATACCGAAGCCGGTTTCTTGGCATGCGCAAGACAATCCCCCAAGGTGTGTCCTGGATGTGATTGTGGCCGATTGCTGCCCCCACATTGGACGATCAGTGGCTTTCCGTGGGATGCACAAGGACATACTAGTACTATGTGTCCTCCTCGGAGGCGCTCGTCCGACCTGAACGTACATAATACAACCAGATTGCAGCATTTCTTTGCCCCAGCGGTGCGGCCAGAAAGCGCCCGCCGAGGAGCACGTACTAGAAGACTTCTCGGCGCGCGCGTCGCCCACTTGGGAGCGACGCACACCTAGTATTAGAAGAAGAAAAAACGCCATAAACATAAGTTGTTGGCGCTCCGCGCGGATTCCTTGGATCTGCGCTGGACCCCCTCCCTGGCGCGCGGAGCGCGCCAGGGGCGGCGCCGCCCAGGGGGGGCCCAGCGCGGATCCAGGAAACCCGCGCGGAGCGCCAAAAGTGTATGTTTCTGGCCTCCTCCGAAGTCTAGTTCAGTCTGTTTGGGTGGCGCCGACTCCGATCGCCAGCTCCCTCCAGCTCGGCCACCCTCTGCGCGGGCGGCGGCGATCCGCCGCCGTGCGCGCGCGCGTGCGTGCGTGCGTGCGCGCGTGCGTGCGTGCGTGCGCGCGTGCGTGCGTGCGTGCGTGCGTGCGTGCGCGCGCGTGCGCGCGAGCGCGCGCGCGCGCGCTGGCGTGCGTGCGTGCGTGCGTGCGTGCGTGCGTGCGTGCGTGCGTGCGTGCGTGCGTGCGTGTGTGCGTGTGTGTGTGTGTGTGTGTGTCCTCTCCCCCAGTCGCGCCCGGGCTCCTCCTCCTCCTCCTCCTCCGTGCATCGCGGCCTTAGTTTGCATACAATGTGTCCCCTGCTGCCATTCCGCCGGAGCAGTCACCTTCTGCCCAGCCGCCGACGCAACAAGTGTGTGCGTGTTTTTGTGTTTTTGTGTGTATGAATGTGTGCGCGTGCGTGCGTGCGTGCGTGCGTGCGTTCGTGCGTGCGTATATGTGTGTATGTGTGCGTGGGTGCGTGTGTGTGTGTGCGGATCCGAGGTCAGGTTAGTCATCGGAACAAAACATACACATATACGCAAAGACACATACCCACATCACGAACAAAACACAGACAGAACAAACACAAAACAACACAACACGATAACCACACACAACCCACACACGAACAAACAAACAAACAAACACAAACACAAACACAAACACACACACACACACACACGCACACACGCACACGCACACACACACACAACAAGGAAAAGGCCGGCAACTGAGCCCCAGCACCACCTGACAGCGGCTGCTGGCCCTCCCCCCCTGTGAAGGCCGGGCTCGAAGCCCCGGTGCCCGAGGTCGACCCCCCCCCCCAGCAACAGCAACCAGCAACCCCACGAACGAAACGGTGTGGAGGAGGAGGAGGAGGAAGACGCTGGAGGAGGGGAAGGGCGAGGAGGAGGGGGAGGGCGGAGGAGGAGGGGGAGAAGGAGGGGGAGGAGGAGGCGGAGGAGGAGGAGGAGGCGGAGGATGAGGAGGAGGAAGCATCGTCACCATCACCGTCATCACCGGTGAGGTCGTACTAGACACCACCCCCAACATCGTCATGAACACCATGGTCCGCGTCATGATTATTATCATCATCATCAACACCATCATCATCAGCATCATCATAATCATCATCAAAATCATCGTCATACTCATCATCATCATCAGCAGCATCATCACCATCATCATAATCATCACGATCGCCACCATCGCCATCACCATCATGTGCACACTCACCATCATCATCAAAGTCATCATCACCATCATCATCAATATCATCAGCATCAACATCATCATAATCATCATCATCATCATCATCATCCATACCAAGATCACCATCATGCTCGTCATCATCAACAACATCACGATCACCGTCACCATGACCGTCATCATCGTCACCACCGTCACCATCATCATCGCCATCATCACCAACACCGCCATCATCATCAATATGACAATTATTATCACCGTCATCACCACCATCAACATGATCATCACCGTCAGCAGCATCACCATCATCATCATCATCATCATCAGTCTCCACATGTTCATCATCAGCATCATCAGCAATTTCATCGCCACCATCAGCAGCATTAGCATCAACCTCAACACCATCATGATCAGCATAGTCATCGCAATCATCAATTTCAATATCGCCACCACGACCATTTTGGACACATATTTGTCCGTCCTGGCGGCCTCCTAGAAGCCTCTTGTGAGCCTTTCGGGGCCGTCTGGGAGCCCTGTTCAGCTGACTTGGGCGGGGGCAGCACCACCATCATCATAATCACCAGAAGCATCAAGATCAGAATGCTGATCATGATCATGATGATGATGATGCTGGTCATCATCATCATCATAATCACCATCATCAGCATCATCATCATCAGCATCATCAGCATGATCAACATCAGAATCATCGTAAGCACCCGAAGCATCACCATAATCACCATTAGCATGACCATCAACATCACCATCACCATCACCATTATCATCACCATCATCACCGTCATCGTCACTACCATCATCGCCACCATCAACATCATCAGCATCACCATTCTCGTCGTCACCATTCGAACCCTCCGTATCATCGTAAGCATTCGCATCCATATCGTCGTGAACATAATTAACAGCATCGTCGCCGCGCCGTCGACAAAATGTTCCGGGAGAAGCCTCAGGAACATCAGGCCTGCTAGGTGGAAGGGGCTCGGACGGGCCGTCATGGGCTCCACTGTAGCCTTCTGAGCCTCCTGAGGAGGCGACACGTGTCCACGACTCGCATGATAAGGGCACTGAATAGCAACGCCCGCAGCAATACAGTCTGTCCAGTGGGGAAGTTGCTGTCGCAACAAACAGCATCGAGGAATGAGCCTGGCCGCTCGCTTGCACCTCTAACAAGGACGTGCGATGGGTACCAGCAAACATCAGACGGCAAAGCCTGCTCGCCCTAAATGGTTCACGTGCACATTCAGACACAGGAAGCCACTATTCGTACGTCCGTGGACGACGTTCAGCACATCATTGCGTAACAGGGGAATCCTCCAGAACTCGCAGGGGATCCTCTGGAACCCCTTTGGTATCCTCAGGGAGCCCATACGCAATTCTCCGAAGCCCAAGACAACCCTCAGGAAACCCTGAGGATAGGGAATCCTGAAGACCTCAAAGGATTCCTCGAGAATCCCATGAGGAACCCATGGGATTTTCAAGGGAACCCCAGGAAACTATGAGGATTCAGACAAATTCCCGAATGATCCTCCAGGGGTTCCTGAGGATCCTCCTCCGCCTTCTCCGCTTCCTCCTGTTCCTCCTCCTCATCTTCATCCTCCTCGTCCTCCTCCTCCCCCTGGTCCTCCTGCTTCTCCTCATACTCCTCCTCCGCCTCGTCCGCCTGACCCTCATCCTACTACTCCCTTCTCCTCCTCCTCCTCCTCCTCCACCTCCAGATTGTCCTCATTATTCCTTTTCTTATCTTCCTCCATCTCCTCCTCCTCCTCCGCATCGTATTCCTCCTCGTTCTTCTCGGTCTCCTGCTCATCTCTTCTCCTCCTCC